TTGGACCTGTGCCACCTACATCCCAGGACAACATGCCAAGTACTCCTTTAAAAAGAAACAATTACCCTTCAGCTCTCTATGTTTTGGGGGTTTTATAAGGCTTGCAAGGGGCAGTGGGACTGCACAGCGTTAATTAGTTTTCTGATCAGGACAAATTTTTTACTGGTTTTTTTTTTTTTTTTTGGTGATGTTTCTAGGGTCTTCATTTGCCATCAGAGAAATAATCACATGAACTGGTGGAAAGGTAGAGGAACATTGTTTTGTTGGTAAATGTATATGTGGAATGACTGACCTTTTATGTATGCATTTTTTTAACTAGAAGCTGAAATAAATGTAGTTTTAAGGGATTTTTGTTTTCTTTCTGTCTTGGCTATCCAGTTGAAATAGCTTGTTTTCAGCTTGTTTGTTTTTATTTCTTCCTTTCATGTTGCTTTCAAGGAAATGTCACTTCTTAAAAACAAAAGGTTAAGTGACTTAACAAAAGGTTAAGTCACGCAATGCTGAACTATATAATCAGTCTGCTTGACAAGCCTAGGCTGCTGAAAATATTAAAGAATGAGCACCCAACTAGTAGACAAGCCATCTCCATTGACATAAGTTCCTGTTTCAGTATTTTAATTATTCTCATGGGTCATCTCATCTTCAGACACGTCAGCATTGATGTTACCTCATCACTGGTAAAGACCAGCAATATGTTTTTTTTTTCAAACCAGAATCTAGAATTAACCATGAAATTGCTTGAGTCTGTCCCAGTTGCACTGGCTTGATGAAAGACTACAGGGCTCTGTCACTCACTATTTGTATTGCTTACTGTAGCCAAAATATTATTAAACAAGCTACCAAAAATGTTTTGACACCAGACAAGACCCCAAAGTATAAGTGGCCTGTTTGTTCACACAAATATCCTGTGTGAACATCCTACTGAATGCAACATCCTACTGAATGCAACATCCTACTGAACTTCAGACTGCCTAAGATCGATCAGTTTTTATTACTCAAACGCAAAAAGCCATGAGGTAACTGCAGCTAATTTGCTGCTTGGAGTGCTTGGAGTAAATGTTATGAAAAGTTGGGTGTTTGTTGCAATCAATACAGATAGTAGAAAAAATTAGAATGCAGTCAAATGCTAGGAGTCTTTGGATGTTTCAAAATATCACCCTAGATTCTTTCAATTTTTAAATTGTTTTTAATTTTCCTGTGATTATTTTATACTATCCCATGGAAGCAATGGCAATTAATTTTGTTGATCTCATTTAAATACCAAGAAAAGATATTTTGATCTGTGAACTAGAACAGAAGCATTATTGCTATGTGACATAGTGTGTAAATTCGTCTTAATGCAAATGTGGGGGGAAAAAGTGTTAAATAAAATAAAGTACTACTTCAATACCTGTGGGTATTTCCCTTTGACCCATCTTCAGGAAAGAATGCTCCTTTACATTCCATACTGATTTTTGTGAGAGATAAGTAAATGCTTTCTGCCTTTTGAAGGTGATCTGCTATTTGCTGTCCATATTTTTTCATATCTAAAATAACAAGACCAGGAGGAATAGCAAAATTACGTATATGATCACACAAGGCAATCTTTTCTACATTGTGTTACTGATGAAAATTTATTTTATAACCTTCCTTATATTCACTTGTGAAAATAAATAATTAATTCATGCTGTAGCCCATTCAAATTAATGTATATGCCATGGTCTACTCTTGATCACAAAAAAAGTGCCATGAATGCTGGTCCACTCTGCAGTGCTGTATTCCTCACTAACACGTATTGTGTGCTTATCATCCCTCCTAACAAATCTGAACAATTGGAAATGGGAAACAGACACTTGGCATTCTTTGCTGGGAATCAGACATTTAAAAACAAGGAAAACACAAAGTCTGAATGTGATTACAGATTGAACAACAGGCATCAGGGGTGAAAAAATGTAGTAAGCCTTTGTTTGAGGTATTTGCCCAATAACATCAGAATAGTGTAAGATTCACAAAAATTTACATATCACTGGAGGAAACATGTAACAAAATATCATTAATTAGCCTCATAATAATACAATAAATACTCCAGGGGTCATATGTGTTTGCTCTTTGACTCAGCACACAGATGCTCATTACAGTTCAGTATTTTGTTGGGATTAATATCCATTCAAAAGTCACTTACTTGAGTCCTGATTCAGCAGTATGCCCACATTTAATCACATATTTAACTGTAAAATATATGCTTTAGTATTTTTTTGGGTTGCAGCATAGACATAATTACTACTAAAACTATTATCAAATTAATAAATATTTAAATTAGTGAATCTAATAATATTTACCAGATACACGTTTGGGTCGTAACTTCAGAACCAATGTGTATTTCAGCTGAAAAATTTAACACAGAAGTACATAATAAAAAAAGTAAACAACTGTCCCCATTTGCTACCATTTGCTACCATGGATAGATAGGCATGATGTTGTCAACAGTACCCATGCAGTTCATATATTTGGCACTTCCTGCATCACACTGTGCATCCCAGCCTGTCTTGCGGTGGCCCTGAGCATGGTTTATTACACCCATGACATTTTTGGAGCCTTTTGCTGAGAAAGAGAAATACCAGACTGGACACTAGAAGATTACAACTAATTGTCTACTGGTTGGCTTCATCGGTATCTTTATGTTTTAGTGTCTAAGGGCAAAATTCATCCTTCAGGCACCTTTGAGAAAAGGATGAGGAAAAGTCACTACAGTAGAAGCAGTCCCATGAGGATGCTCTGCAACTACAGAACTGCACCAACAGCAACCGCTTCCGCTGACTCAGTTACACTGGAGCAGGTGGGTCTGGAACAAGAGGACAAGCTTTGCCAAGTGTATAAAGGAAAACAGGAATATATAGTGTATGTTCCTATACATGCGTTTATAGTTTTCACTCCAAAGTTTTTTAATAAAGTAAAAAATGATGATCAAGAAGTTGTAAGTAACTTACTTATAATTTTTAAATTAATGCTAGTTATAGTGATGACATTTTTGATGCCCACTAATGCAAATGAGATGATAATTTGGCCCTACTCTAAATTCAACAACACAGGAAATGCAGAAGAGAAAATAAAATGTGCAGCACCATTCCTGGGATCTGGGAAAAATGTTTTGCTCTCTGCTGCTTTGCCCAGCATAAGCACAAAGAAGGGAAAACCCCCATAAAGTTCAAATAATTCAATGGTCAAACTTGGCTCTATCAAGTGATGCAAATCAGCTAAAGCATAAAAATTAATCTGGATATGATTCCAAGTAACCCAATAGTCTTTCACAGTATCAGTACATTACTGATGACATTTGTTACAGTAACAGTATTAATAATCTTTTGTTCTTCTACTTTAAGAGGACATTTCTGATTTACTATGGTGAAGGATACTACAACAGACTACTGTTTGTTTTTTTTTTAAGGAGAGGTGATCAGGTAAACCAGAGAAGCACATAAACTTTGAATGCACAGCCTAAAACACCAGAATTTTTCATGCTTTCTGATACTTCACGTATTTTTTCCAAACATGTAATTAGCCTATATATTTCCATATACACCTTTACATTCTAAATGGTATCCTAGATACGTTATTCAATAAACCCTAAAAATAGTAGCGTAAATACACAAAACAGTAACTCCATCTTCCCACATTTTTTAACTGATTAGACAACATTATAGTTTTCACAGAAGCAAATACTATAATTAAGTCTATCAATTTCATTACAACTTCACTATTTTCATCCTCTCATCTTCCTTCTCCAAAATTATCCTTCTATAGCTGGTTTCATCCAAAATAGCACCTGGAATGCATGATTGCAATTTGTGGCTTATTGTGAAGGCTGTTTTTAGAAAGCCCATTAAACACCTGTTCATCCCTGTGAATTGGGCATACAAGATAAAAGAAAACAAAGAGGGGCTCACATGCAGCCTTGGGGATGGGCTGCTTTGGGAAGGTTGCTGTGGTTCCTGCAGTCCCTGCCCCTCTCTACCCACACTGTCTTTGTTGCAGAAGTCACACCTGCCTGGGAGGAGCTCAGCTATCAGATCATCAAGCAGCAGCTGCTGAGCAGCCCCTATTTGCAGCACAGAGCGCTGGGAGGTGACTAAAAGCGATGAGATGATGCCATGATGCTGCTAGCAGAAGAGGCTGTCCTACTCCTCCTGCCTGCTGCCCAGGCACCTTTTCATATGCTCATTTGGCTACTTATTCTGCCCGATGCTAAGCCCCTCAGTTCACTGAGCTGGCAGAAAACAAATCCAGAAATAAATGAAAAAAATAGTTAATTTCTGCTGGCATACTGAGCTAGATCTTAGCCTCAGAGAGAGAGCAGGACTGCACAGGTAGGAATGAGAGGGACATGAGGCAGAGAAGAACCCTCTCTTATGTCAGTAGGACCAGTGGCCTGAGAGAGAGGAGGTCAGTGCTCTCTTCTGAGCTTACTCCGAGTTAACCAAGCACCTATTTCAACAGTAAACACTTATGTTAGATATTTAAAAGTTAGACCAAGCCCTTTAGAGAGGACAGGCCCAGAACTGAGAGATAATAATCTCAGTGGGAAGGTGAGGACAGCAGGCAGGCAGAGACAGGCCAGGGCAGAGAACCCCCTTGTCTGTCTGAGTTGAGGCACTCACAATGGCACCTTTTCTCTTGAGAGAAATTTAAAAAAACTTAAACCATCAAAATTTAACAGAAAAGGTAAATAGTTACTTTGCAAGAATTGGAAGGCTAAAGCAGAGTCCAGAGAATTTTCAGCTGCAACTTTTTGCTCAGTGCCATGAAAAGCAGCAACCAGGTCTGGTGGCATCAAACACTCCTAAGAGGAACCCACATCAGAGTCCTCACACAGTCGGCTACACTTTGATGGGTACAAAGGTCATTTGTCAAAGTAGTGATATGGCCAATAGCAATGTATTTTCAAAAATTTCAAACTGAAAATCAACTTTCTAGTGAATTATCTTCACCCAGTACCAAGGTTGCCATTTTTCCTTAAAACATACCTGAATTTTTTCAGCCGACATGGACAGTGAAACTACTCTGCAGGAATGATTCCTTCATGTGAAAAATTTTGCTATGTTCTGTAAGCATAAAAGGAGTTAGAAAGTTATGTCTGAAAAAGTGTATGTCCCTCATGAGACTGCCAAAGGAATTTATGTTCCATTTATGAAATGTGGGTGATGTTATAAAACTGTCATACCACTGAAAGCCTTTCTGTATGAGAAATCTGCTATTTCTGGTAGCATTTCTGTCATTTAGCTCCCAGGTCAGAGATGGTGAACAAATTGTTAGATGTAGAAGACATACACAATAGGTGAGATAGCTGGGAAACACAAGGCAGGATAAGGACTAGGCATGACTTGGTAAAGCAGTTCCCTAATGTTTTATTTAGACAGAACATTTGAGGCAGTGAAATTTCCCTGGATGGCTTCCAGATTTTGGTCAGTGACTATCTAATTAAAAATAACCAAGACCGGTCTGGAAACAGGAATCAGAGCTACATGCCTTTGGTCCCAGAGGAGAGCCCTGAACAGACAGCAAAATCTTCCTTATCTTCTCCTGGAGAGCAGCTTAATTTCAAAAGAAATGCAGTGCAGAGTTTTTCTTCTCTAAAATGACCCACAGCAGTTACAAGATTTATTATGACTCATGTTTATACCTCCAAGGGCTGAAAATTAGACTTCCTCAGCTGCCAGGGACGGAAGCTACTTCATAATAAGCTGGGGCTTAGATATACCCTGTGACTTCATCTCCGAGAGACAGTCGCCTGACTTCAGATCCTTTTGGGTCTGAACCCAAGAGTCTTAAGTGCATTTCCCTTGCTGCACTTACCTAACATCCTTCCTAAGTCAGCCGCTCCAAAGCTGGTCTTGTTCTTGTACCACACACAAAGATCAGTTTTCTTTAGGCAGTTTATTCTTGAATTTAATATTGTAGTATATGGACTCATTTGCAGATAAATTCACAATATCCTATGAAATTCTGGCAATGGAATAACATACTATTGTTTGTACTTTGGCCTCAAGAAATGTTACTGTTCACCAAGTTAAGGATAATAATGTCAAAATAAATATACTTATTCCCTCATTCTCTCACTATAGATGATCATTATGACCTTGCACTAATGTGCTATTTTCCACATGTCCAGGGATTTACAAGACTCCCTCATGCTTTGAAACAAGCCGTTACGTATACAACAAAAGCACTATAGCTCTCCATTCTCAGTCTAATCATGTATGGCTTCATCTCTGTTCTTTCCTGAGGCTGCTTTGTTTTCCAGAACCTTACAACGTAGTTACAAAAATGTAATGTACCTGGTGCCTATTTCTTTACAACATCCCATGTAGAATGGCAGAGGACAGTAATAACACATTGTTAAAATCAGTAATCATAGAATTATAGAATATCCTGTGCCAGAAGGGACCCACAAGACTCACATTTAAAAATATCATTTTCTTTTATTAGTCAGATAGTTGTCTAGAAGAGCAAATGAGGAACAGTTCTTAAAGCATCTTTAACAATTCTTTGTGGTTCAGATCTAGTTGGATCCAAAGCACTGCTGGCAGCTGCACTATTAACGTGCATTATCCAGAGAGAACTGTGTGGACTTCTCCTTTTTTCTTTCTTTTTTCTTTTCTCTCAGAAATGCTCTGAAACTGTTACAGAAGTCCCAGTCCCATGCTCCAGATGGGAGAGCAGAGAGGAACACGATGGCTCACTTTCTACTTACGTGTTTAGGTTTCTGTCCAACAAACAGTGATGGTCTGGCCTGAGTACTCAGCAGAAGGGACTGGGAAATGCTCCAAAATTCCCCAGTTCAGATGTGCCCAAAGAAGCTCTTATGGCTCTATTTACTTTTAGTCAGTCCCTACTGTCACACACCTCACACTGACTTCAAAGAGAACATTTATGAATCCATACTGACACTTTCAACACTGATACTTTGAGCACACTGACCTTATGTTTTTCTAAATATGGCATCTTTAGCCTTTCCATTCCAGCATATTGGCTGGAAACAAGTGCTTTGGTTACTTGTTTGTGGTAGTGGCTTCTGCATGAACTCAAAAGGATAAGTTACTCATCCAAGTCATGTGGAAAGGCTACTGAGATCAAACACTGAGAAGAAATGAATGGGGTGGATAGGAGGCTACGGTACAGCAGCATTTGCAAGTGTCATCAAGGAGCCTGGAGGAGATAACTGATCTAGGTAGAGTAATAGTGCAATACCTTCAAAATATATGAAGAACTGCTCATAATTCCTGTTTCTAAACAAATGATGGGAGCCAGGACTAGAGGTGGGGGTGGGGGGAAGCCTTAGAGAGATGAAGCAAGAGGTCTGACTCAAAACTTAGATTCAGTTCATTTACAAGGCAGATTCAGGGAAGTACAGCAGTTAGGTGTTTCAAAGGTGACTATTAATCATTCTTTAAAAGAAAGCTGCATTGATAATAAGAAGAGAAAACTAGTTTTGAAAGCAGGGATCAGAGGAATTTGATAAGAAAGATATCTGTGTGAGTCAAAGGATTTAGTGCAGTCTAGCCAGCAATGATGAAGTGAAGTCTTCCATGGGATTTAAGCTGTTCATCTTGGGTTTTGTGCTTTTAACCCAGCTGCACCTGGTATTGCTTATAAGGAATGTAAGATAAATTAAACATGGCATTTACTATGCTTTCACATAAATTCCTATTACTTTTACTTGGATCAATTGCTGTAATGGTGGCTTTGTATAGACATACTTTCTCCTAGACAAGATACAGAGTTTAGAACTGACAGCAGAACTCACAGTCATATTTAAGGGGTTTGAAGACTTTGCTCTTTTATGCTCCTCTACTAATACCCAAGTGGAGTGCTGGCGATGGAAGCAGCATTAGCAGCTTGGAGAAGTGGTGGGAAGCACAAGCAAGCAAAAAACAATTGGCTACGTATCCAGAAGCCCTCCGTCTGGTGCCTTCCAAACTTGAAACCTAGATACTGTCTGTCTGGTTCCCTCAAACCTAGAAACCCAGAAACCCTCTGTCTAGTGCCTTCAAACCAAGGTGGGTCATGAGCTAGACAGCCAGTTCTGGTGGCAGCAAAGGTAATTTCTTCCATGAGGACCATAGGTGAGAGAGACATGGTTGGGAGCAAGGTGAATGTTGGGTACACAGCTGAATCCCAAAATGAGTTAGTTAGCCTTCTATATGCACTTTTTTTTCCTCCTAAAGGCTGCAGGGACATCATTAATAAAGCTGAGCCTAACACCCTTTAGTGTGAAGGCCTTAAATTGTTTGAATTTAAATAAATGTTGAAAATTGCTATATCTATTCATCTTTATTTGGTATTCCTTATTTTATGTGTAAAAATTTTCAGTCATACCATAAGAAAGCAGAAAATATGGTATAGCACTGTCAACTCTTGAGTTTTTTATTTTACTTTCTATAGTTCCTTGTTGATGATACAGATCATTTAATCAGGAGACTACAAAGTAAACATAACTTCCTTTACTAAGAAGTGTTGTAATCCAAACTTGCAAAGAAAAGTTTGAAAATTTAAAGCAAGTAAAATCTAAATGCTAAAAAAACAAGTAAAATCCAAACTGCAAAAGTATTTTAATAGTAAAAAACCCACACAATTTTTAAACAATCCCATGATTTTTTGAGGCTGACTCATGATTCTGTAATGTTTAAAGTTGGCAATGCTGATACCCTGTGATTTAGATGACTAATCACACACTGAAAAGCTAATAATCAAAGTAAGCAGTTTGTGAAGTACCCACAGACTAGAAAATATGTATCTCAACTACTCAGCAAAGGCTTATGCATAAATTGACAACAAATAGAATCAGTTTATATAACTGCTTCACAAGGAGAGAGAAAAGCTAATCAGTTAATCTGTTATTTTATTTGTATCACATAATGCTCCCAGCTGCAGTACTGAGTGTGAAGAGGGAAGAGCATGGAATACAGGGAATAACAGGGTAGCGCTTCAGCATTGTGTTCACAGGGAACAGGGGAGTGTGGATGGAATTCAGCAAGCAAAATGCAAGAGTAAAAACTGTCTGATGGAAGGCTGCAGTTACGCTGCACGCCAGACAAGAACATACCTGGGGGAAGGAGGGAGGCAAGCACAAAAAGCAGTCAGTTGAGAAGAGGTCTTCTGGCAACAAAGACTTAAACCTGGGTTCAACGTGCAGGCCATGGAGAATGACTATGGGGAGGAATAAACAGAATGAAAGCAGCAGAGGAAACATCATTTCAAGACAGGTGGAGGCAACAGGGGTGAATCCTGGCTTCTCAGTGGGTTTTCTGATTAGATCACTTGTTTGTGCACAGTAGTTCTCAGCTGGGCTCTTTCCAATCTTTTATCTTATCTGATGGTAAGCAGACAGCAGAAGGAGGTATATGTAGCACGTGCTTGGCACCAGCTCTGTTCCCTAACAAGAAGATGAATTCTTTTCTGAAACTCTGTTCATAGCAAAGTGACGTTGGCAGAAGCTAAAGCATCTACACGTATCAATGCTGCTCAATCAGCTTAGTTCCCTCAAAATAGAAATGACAAGGAAGGATGATTTCTAATTTTCACAAGTTAAAGAGGAACTGAAGAAATATAACTACTGTGGCAGGACTTAATTTATTGACTTGCAAAGGCAGAAAACAAAACTAATTTGAAAAGAAACACCACATGTTTATCTGAATTAGTATTTTTGTTGCTACTTCATTGCAAAATATAAAGAACGTGCAGCATTGACCTATAAATTTGTATTCTCTTTATATAAAATTTATGTCTTTATATAAAATTTATATTCTCTTTATCTAAAATTCAATAGAGCTGTTAGGAGTGTCAGAAAATTCTCCCGCAAAGGCATATTTAATTACAAGTCTGCCAAATGGGACTTTCATTTTATTCTGAAGAATCTGTTTTAAGCAGGATATTACATTAGTATGATACCAAGTCTGATCCTGCATGGAAGCTCATATGTCCCTGGAAAGAGGAAAAGAAGGTACACCCCATTTGAAAATGAAGGTTCTGTCAAAGCAAGCAAACCCAAGAAACGAGTGAATGGAGCAGAATGATCCATCTGTATTAGGGCTTCCTATAGCAGCTGTCACTGACAAGCCATCACCGTAATGTCTAAGGTGCTGCATAATTGGAGTGGATCCCAAAAGTTGAGGGAAGATTACAGACTAAACAGGAAAGATGGAGGGACGTATTTCACAGCTGTCATCCAGATAGGAAAGATATTCTACTCCTTACTCCAGATGGAGAGCAGCTCGCATTTTGATGCAGCGAGTGAGGGGGTGACTGAAATGCAGGGATTCATTCATGAGCTGCACGTACAACACAGCTCTTTGAACACGCTGTAGTAATGCACAGGGAGAGGCAGGGGGCGTCGACATAATTAATCCCCTCACTTAGGAGACTTAAGGGTCGCTGGAACTGAGCGCTGTCACAAGATACATGCCTCACATTCCGAGCCTGTTTGTTTTGCTTTTACATTTATTTTTAATAAATGCCTCAATAATAACTATGGCACTCTAGCTGCAGGGGACCCTTCTCTTGTGACAACTTTCTACCTCTGCTGACATAATTTCTTAATTAACTGTGAGAGATTTACTCAGAAATATAAATATGTTTATAGAAAGGCATGCAAGCACACAAAGGAAAAAATATTGACGCAAATATGTTGGGAAGGGTGACAGAAATGTCAGTAAC